ATTTATAGTATATAATAATATGCAAAATAGTAAATAAAAATGATTTATGATAAAAAGCTAGGTTTTAGTAAAAGATTGGTTGTGAGGTATTCGTGAATTGGCCTCAAAGGAAACCGGAATAACAATCGTAGGACGGTGAGCCGTGGACTACGAATAATCCAATGGTTTTCACTTGAGTTTTAGATAGGGTGAATTCACAAATTCCTTCCAAAAAACGTTTCCTTCAAAAAAAAGGCCGTCTCAAAACAATAATTTCTAAATGGATAAAAAGCAGTAATAATTCTTAAACTGGTAATAACGTTTCGGACTTTCCACTACACAAACTAGGATAGAATTCTGATTAAACATAGTTGACAATTTTAACATTATTTTACATGTATTTTAAAACGTAAAGAAGAAAATATTCAAAGGCACCAGACATAAAAAAACAAGGGAGACTTACGTTGATGAAAAGCCAATAGCTTCAATAGAAGTGTTGTCATCACAATTACACAAAATTGGGCTCTAGAAGAAACAAGTGGAAACGTAAGTATTAAAAATTCGTAAAAATGTAGCTAATTGATATGCCATGTAAATATCAAAGATTTCTAATGCAAAATAATACAAAGGGGTATTTTTCACTAGCTTAGTCATAATATGATTTAACTCTATTTTTAAAAATGACGATATTTTTATCAGTGAAGGTCGGTTGGTATTATTATACAAGAAAACCTACTCTTCAAGTTTGGCCTCATTTTTACCCCTTTAGCTACCTATCCAACTGAGGACTTACAACACTTAGCTACTATCAATATTTCTACATTTAGCACCAATATTGAGGATTAATCAAGAGATTCATAATTGTTCATTTATCTGTGACGTGCTTCCCATAAAGTTGATATTCGCGATTTATTTTATGTCATTCAAATCCTCTCTGTGATCAGAAACTATTTCGGACTCTTCATTAACTGGATATTTCTGAGTTGTATAGTAAAATGATCAACTTAGAGCTTATTTATTTTGTTTCTATATTCATTTAATCCTTATGGCGACGACCATTTTCCTCTTTTCTAGTTTTTAGCCATTCCTTTTCATAGTGCCTATGGCGATATACTCTACAAATTAAAATTTTTGTCTGCATTTCGGAATTGTAAGGCAAGTGAGCATAAAAGTAGCTTTATCGTCGGCTAATATCATTCCTCCACTTTAAAATATACCTGATTGACTTGCATATTTATCAGTCATTCTTAGCCTGTTGTGAAATGTATCTATTTATCCCGGAGTTTCTCAAATTTAGAAATGATTTTGTTTAGATTTATATGCTAATAAATTATTTCCAGATTATAGCTGGGCTGCTCTGGTTTTTTGTTTTGGCTTATGTATGTCATAATCACCCCCTTTACCCTTGTGCTGGGAATGTACCGCGTCCACGGTCCGAATTTGGAAATAATTATGCATACAATGGACTCAGGACAAGGTACGTTCCTCTAAGTCTTCCTACCAATATGACCAAGTTGCGAAAACAAGGTCAAACAACTTTAATAAAGTTATATTTGCTTTAGAAATCGACTATATCACTTGTTTTTCGTTTGTGAGTAGGTTTGCCAGACTACAAGTAAAACATATGTATGAGTTTTGTTCATACTTGGGGCCGCCCCAAGACCTTTAATGACACAATATAAAGCCCTGACCTAGACTGTGTAAGACAGTGGGCAACCATGGTCGAGAAAAACAGATGAGAACTTGTAAGCGTATGAGTCAGATTACAAAACCACCTTGCCTAATCTCTCAGTCTAGGGTCACTAGGGTTTAACATCCCAAGAAAGGCATGACACGGGCTGCGTAAGCTCGCAAGTATGGTTTAATTGTTGAGTTTAATATAACATGTTGGACGAATGTGAATGAAGTTAGAAGCATTACTGAGCAGACAAGTTGAGTCGCCTTCTTTTGGATGATGGCTTAACATCCTCTCTCCTTCAACCTTTCAATCAAGCATAAATAGTTCTTGCTCAAGTTTATACAAAGTCAAACAACTTCTATGCGATTTTTTATGCCTAGTGGTTTGTGTCAAATACTTAAAATGTATTGACTTATATTTTAGGGCACAGATTCATCTAGGTAGGGGACAGAGTAAATAAGTCCCTCCAATACCAAGCCGGGATAAGAGGTATACATTGATCTCGGTGAAAAGGTCTTCCTGACCAAATAGCGCCTGGATACTCATTTCAATCCGTGGAGGCTGACCTCAAATCAATGCTCCGTATATAATCATACCAACCGGCCCTAATGCTTGAAATAATAAACTGACCAAAGCTACGCCTTCATGTAAATGCCTCTGCGTGACTGGTAACAGAATCACACTGCCATGGCCTCCTGCAACAGCAATTATGTCGCCGCTTGAAGATTCTAAAATCGAGTCTACTTGTGTTGGGCAAAAGGCCAACTTGATGACCAGTGGCTCTGATTCCGCCCCTGATGCGCCAGAACGGTCAGCTTTTGCATTGGAGAATGCCACTCCAGAACCCAAGGAACCAGCAGCCAAATTAATGGTAGTCAACCCTGCTTCAGTCTTGAGGTCCCAGCAACGTAAGATACCAAAAGCGTAGAGAACGGCGAGAACTGGTCGGGCTGTACGAAAAGTGCTAGGTAGAATTCGGCCGTCGAGTGCTGCCCCTCCAAGACCTAAAAGAAAGCAGGAAAAAGCGACCAAGTCAACCAACGACTAATCCTGAACGATTGGTAGACATCGATTTAAGAATATCAATTATATCAAAGACATCCTAGAAGTCATACCAAAAAGAACTGGATTCAGGCATTGACCGGATTAAATTCAACATAAGCTCAAAAACCAAGTCTTAAGGCGTATATTAAACTGAGGGGCACTGGAGTATAGAAAAGCCAACGTGTTAGCAAGGAGCAGATATGATGCAATAATAAAGAATGATAATATACAATAAAGGGAAAAATTATATTAACATAAGAGATCTATGGAATGAGTAATAGGATGATGAAATGTGCAAATGAGCAAATTATGACTAAGAATATACGTATGGTGTCCTAGAGGCAGTCATAAATATAAGGAGGACCAATACAAATAAGTAGGACCGAATCAGATGTTTGCTATATAAGATAATAAGATGAAATAATAATACGATAATAATAAAATCAGATATGATAAAATATAAGAATCCCAACACTTTACTAGACTATCCGATTCTTTTTAAAAATCTTTTGTTCGGAGGCAGTGACACTCTAAGTAGAGCCAGTCTGATGCGAAACTCTAGAAATAGCTAAATCCACAAGCGAAAAATTAAAAAAATAAATTCAGAGGTTGTTTGACCTTGTTTTCGCAACTTCATATTGGTAGGAAGACTTAGAGGAACGCAACTAGCCCAGAGTCTATTTTATGCATGATCATTTCCAACGTCGGACTGTGGACTTGGTACATTTCCAGATGTTTCGCCGGCATCGTCAGTGAGTTTTGCCATTATCCCCATACTCATCAAAGAGACAAGTGAAGCCAATCCTTTGACCAAATGTGTGCTAAACAGTTGTGTTATCTTCCCTTCTGCCCTGGGCTATTCAAATTTCCTATATCCTCCTATCAGAATTTTTTACAATGCCTATTTAGATGTAGTGTGGTGTGCTCCTTTGAGCGGAATTCATCAAAACCCTTCACACTCCACGCTGTCATTCTCACCCCTTTCACCCTTGTGTTGAAAATGTTGATCAGAGTCAGCCATATTGTTACGCAGTCTTCTTTCCATAGGTCTTATCACAGTCTCTCTCTTGCCCCCCAGGATTCGTCTGCTCTCTCCCTGATTCACGAATTTTACTTGACCCCTGCCACCCCATCTGTGCTACTCGAGGCGTTATTCGCACACCCATGCGTCTGGGGGACTAATTCGAGGTTAAAGCCTCTGAGTAAGTCTCATGGTCACGCCTTGGCTACATGGACCACGTCTATGGTAAAACCTATTGTCAGTCAACTAGCTCCAGTCTCCACCACGCCTATCCTGTTTCTATCCCTAATACCAAGTCTATGACTTCCCATGCCCTAATCTTTTGTGTGCCAACCCACAAATGTTGTGGTACTGCTTGCTTTG